TCTTCGGCGCCGCGGCGGCCCGGAGGTTCATGACGCTCTCCTTGCGCAGCTCCTCGCGGCGCTCCTTGAGCCTGCGGACGCGGCCCTCGAGCTCGGCCATCTCGTCGAACTCGTCCTCGAGCGCGCGCGTCGCGTCCTCGCGCTCGTCGGCCATCTCGACCTCGGCCGCCCGCTTCCGCCGCTCGTTCTCCTCCTCCTGCGACTTGGCGGCGAGCTGCGCCTTCGTCAGCGCCGGCGCCGAGATGATCGCCTCCGCGTAGAGGTTACTAGAAGCTCCGTTCATGGTTGTTGGCGGGGCTGGGACGTCGAGGACTGCCATCTCTGCTTCGAAGGCGGCCCATTCCGCCTCGTCGATGACACCTGATGAGGCTTGTGCTGGGGCGGCGGTATTGTTGCCGGTAGTTGGTGCCTGTATAGTATTTTGGGCGGGTGTGGTGAGCGTTTCGTTGGATATGGGTATTGATGCCACTGCTCTCTGTTGTGCTGTTGGGGCTCCTGGGGTGGAGGTCGTGTCTGCACCGAGTAGTGCAGCGCGGCCCATCGACGCCGCCTTTGGTGTTGAAACGTTGGAATTGAAACCGGCGAGAGGCGTTGCAGGCCGGGACGGTATGGCAATCTCAATGCCCTGTACGGGTGTTCCTGAGGTTCTCCGTGCCAAGCCAGGGGGCGTCTGCGTCTTCTCTTTGTCCTTCTCATTAAGCAAGCCCCCCCCGGTGCCGTTCGTGCCGTTCGTGCCGTTCGACGTGGGTACGTGACTGACGGCGGTATCGGCCCTGCTTCGTTTCATGCGTACCGTGTCGGAGTCCTCTTTGCCGTTTGACATGTCCTTGTCCGAATCTTCGCCGCGTTTCCGCTTGTTTGTGTCCTCGTCCGCGCCTTGGGCAGGAGGGCTCGACAGTTTTTGCAACCTCTGCAGTCTCTGTCTGTGGGGTTGGCTTCGGATATGCGTATCCCATAAGGACTCGGTTTTCACTACATCGCGACATAGCTTGCAGAGCAACTTCCCTGCATCTGAGTAGGCGGCGTGAGGATGTTCGATGCGATTCTCGGCCCGATGGGCGCGTAAGAGGGCACGGGCGTCAGCCATTGCGGATGAAATGCTGAACTATGAAATGCTTTGCTGGTGGGAACCGAGTTTCCAACTTTGGTGCCCAAATTCGAGGAGGATAGGAATGCACAAGAGTTGAGTTGTGGTTGTTATTTAGGAGGTTTGAGTTGCAATGGTCATGATGAGGCGGTCTGGGGATTGGGAGAAGTGCCCCGCGCTGGCTCTCCCGGGTAGGTACTGTACCTACCTACACTACACCTACCTACCTAGACTGGGTATCGCAGGGCTAGGCCCGGTGGGGGGGTAGGTGTAGGATCGTCTCCACAAGGAAGCCCCGGCGCGTACATCGGATCGATCCTTCGTTCCTCCCCTCCACAGCTCCGCGACGCTACTGTCGGCCCAGTGCACTTTGACATTTTACATTTACATTTTAACCCGGACGCTGTCGGCCATGGCAACAGGCGGGTGACCTACCCAGCACACTCTCTACGACATCCGAACTACGGTCCGGGCGCGACTATCATCTAGCTATATTGAGGGAGCTCGCACACGAGACTTGGCTTCATCGTTGTCGGTCATATCACCATGGACGAGGAACAGCAACAGACAGCCTCCACCTGGCCACCACCGCCTCCCTTCTGGAAAGCCTTCACCCCGGACAATGTCGCGCGTATCGAAGAGCTGCGGAAAGAGACAGCCGAGCGCGAGGGCATACAAGACACCTTGAGCGTCCACATCGACCAACTGCCCTGCGAACTGCGCAATCTACAGCCTCCGCCCGAACCCGAGGATGGAGAATGGCGAGTCTTCGGCGACAAATACCGCCTAAAAGACGAGCTCCCACAGCTCGAGGATGGCGAGATCCGCCGGCTGTTCCCGAATCCCGAGGAGAGGGACCAGGATGGCAAGCACTTCGACCGCGCCACTATCCTCAAGCGATTGGCCAAGTCGCTGCTGCTCAACTTTCTCGAACTGAATGGCCTGCTGGCCACCAGCCCCGAAGCGGTACGTCGCCAACGAACCTCTCCTCCAGCTTCGCTGTCCCTATTTCAAAGTGCCGTCTCCTTCTAATTGACGTGGAAACAACAATAGGCCGAGGAGAAGGTCACGGACCTCCGAGATCTCTTCATCAACTTCCACCACCTCATCAACGAGTACCGCCCGCACCAAGCCCGCGAATCCCTCATCGCCTTGATGCAGTCGCAGCTGGACAGGACGCGGGCCGAGACGAACGCTATCCGTGACGCGAAAGACCATGCCGAACGCGTGCTCGAAGGGCTGGGTAGCATAACGATCGAGGAACAGCCGAACTATAACACCGTGGACGACGAGGACCCATTCGATCCAGATATCGAGGCGTGGACAATGCTGATGGGTTAGCATATGAGAAGGAGAAAGACTATTTCGGAGCCAAACAGTTTTGACAAAATATCTTTGAGGCGTTGTTGGTGTATATGATTACTGGTTGGTAAATAATTCGGCGCACGGCTTGGGGAAACAAAGGTTTTATGATACCCCTTAGAATCGCTCAATGGGCGAAAATCAGACCGCGAAAGAGTAATACATTGTAACTGGTACATCTAACAGATTACTGTTACCAGAAGTGCCCGTAACTCTTACAAAGAGTCATTCGTAGTTATCGTCTCCCTATCCCACCGCCATCATCTAAACGTTTCTAGCTTCCTTGGCTGTCCACTTCCGTACCAAAATCTGAGCATGCTCCCCACGCACGTCGGCTTCTCATATCACATCACGGTGCAAGGAATCGGAATACAGCAGCACTCGAAGTCGCCACAGTCGATGCACCGCGCCTTGCCCGTCGCGTCGGCCGGCTTGACGATGCTCTCGAACGTCGAAGACGCCGCGCTGCCGGGGCCGTTGTTGCGGTTGACAAGGGTTGAGCTTGAAGAGCCGCAAGCCATCTTCTTCTTCTTCTTCTTATATTTTCAGCTTGCCCCTTTTCTCCGTTGTTTGGTTTGTTTGAGTTTAGAGACGTAATCTGTCAGTACCTAGGTAGCTTAGTATTAGCGTTATCTTCAGATATATATTTTACTTTTATCGTTTGAGAGGGTGCCGAGCTGCTCACTTACAAGGTAGGAGGTAAGGGTGTCAGTAGGTAGTGTCTTGTCTTTTTTCTCTAACACAAGCGGACTAGGTAGCCAAATAACTAGAAACTGGTACTTGTTGAGAGCGATGGTCAATAAATACTACGCTCCAAAGCTTTCTAATAAGATATACGTAGGTATGCAGATCATACAATGCCATGGCACAAGAAGTTTTCTGCTGACTCATCATGACGTCATGTGTGTTTGCTGGATGAAGCAATGCCACCCATGTCACCATGTGATCGGATCGGACCCTTGTAGATCTCCCTTTAACCTCATGCTTTATTCTTATTAGTCGAGTCGGAGTCGAGTGCCTAACTTTATTCTTTCTGTCATGTCCTCATCTAGTTAATATCGGACCTCAGCTTTCGGCTCTCGTCGATAAGGACATTCATACTTTTCTAATCTTCAATCTCACTATACGAAAAACAGTAGAAATCTCGCTGAGGAGTGAACTATAGGCAGAAATGAACGCTGTCGTCGTTGCACCAGGGTCCCGGAACACATCCGTAGCTAGCCTTGTCTGTATATGTGCTGTGCTATTTGTTCCGCAGATTAATAGCCCTAGTCACACAGCCCGCTGCATTCTAGACGAACTGAATAGAGTCACGAGAAACCATGTCCAAATCAAAAATCGAAGTCTTATCTAAGGTAGCTGACGACCGCAGGTTATCGGTGTCGCAGCACCGGGATGCTGTACGGTTTCAGTGTCTCTGTCTATAATCCTAATGGCATACATAGACAGGTAAGCCAGGGGGTCATAATCAAATAAGTCACAGTAGGTAGCGCCAACAAGTTGTCCCTAAAATGGAAAGCTTTACCGTTCCTAAGGTCAGGTGCACCCATTTTACAAGCTTCACTTTCCCTCACACTTGATTGTCGTTGCCAATACCGTACGTGTTCGGGAAAGGTAAAGCCTTCCAACTATTCCGCCAGCGCTCAAGGTTTATACTTGACGCTGCGTTCGGTCTTCTTTCTCATGGCCCCCTCCTGTGCCGTTCACACCCAGTCTGATCAACATTTTCCGAGTAGTCGATAACTCTCGTATTTCATTCCACGCCTTAAGCCCTTCTTATGCGCGACCTGAGTGAGGACTGTGCAACAACATATTTGTCCTCGAGCGCCAGCTTTTTTGATATAACAATACCGTATTACGCTAGCTACCATTCAGCTCCATAACAGCATTCACCACAGCCGTGTCATAAACTGAATCTGCCCAGTCCCTTTCCCTACATCCCCTCATATCATCCGATACAAACAACCATCAATTTTCCGCACCATGTCAATAAGGCCAATGTCAAGCCCACTCTTACCACGACCCGGCATTCCTGAGTGGCTCGCAGTAAACCGCACGATGATACTTATAATCGGGAACCTACTGGAGGATTGTAAATGGTGGCTGTCCTGGCTCGAAAGGATAAACCCCCCGTTCTACGAGTCTGTGAACAATAGCCCCGTGGTCGGCGAGGTCGACGTGGCCCTCTCCTACGTGGATATGCTCAAGAGACTTTTGAGACAGGTCGAGGAAGCCCCCGATGACGTGCATATGAGGAAGGAGACCGAGAGGGCGATTGCGAGGATGGTGTTTATCGGCATGGAATGTCTCTTGTTTCAGTATATAGGCACCCTCAGAATAATAGCAGGGATGTATACGTACCTATATATCGACCTGCCGCATTAGGTCCCGACGACGGTTAGACTGGAAAGTCCCCGTCCCATCACTGATGGATGGATGGTGCGTTAAGGTTGAAGGGGACAGGCAGGGCGAGAGAGCGAAATAAGGACACAGCTGGGTATAAGGAATAAAAATAAAATAATGCTAATAGAAAGCGTAAGAGCAAAATAATCTCTCGATCGGGGAATCGAACCCCGGCCACCTGCGATCTGTCGCGGCAGAACCCACCAAGCAGGTTGGCGGACAACGTCCCTTATGACAAGCAGGTATCCTTACCACTAGACCAATCGAGATCTTACAGGGATGTGTGTTGGTCAACAGGCCCGATAATGGTACTTATATATAGCCTTAGGACGTTGATTCGTTGATTGCCTTCCATCTGAATCATCACAACCAAAAAGGCGCTGTTTTCCGCGCAAGTAAAGCTGTTTTGCTTTTGAGGTTGTTGATTACACGATATAGTGGATAAGGATACAAGACGGATCCTGGATATAGTATCTAGGTAGGTAGTAGGACATGAAATGCGCCACCTTTTCGTTGTGTTGCAAATAGTTGTGGATGACTACAATACCTATTACACTAGAATGAGAATTGAAATGTAGAAAATGTTGGCACTTCACCTTATCTACAATTTTCAATACTGTTTTTCAGTATATTCCATTCTCTCAACTCTTATTTTCAATTCCATATCTACCTCTTGACACCTATAGCTGCATCTCATTTCGGAAAACCTAGGCAATAATAGTAAAGTAAATATTGAGCCTGAGCAGTGAAACTAGGCGAGGCCTTCTGAAACACTTGTCCAGGGCAAATCATGAGCTAGCGCATCGCTAACTTACGATGAGCGACCAAGGCTGTTCAAAAGTTATTTGATATGTTCCTGCTGCGTCTCCATAGACTCCTATTGCACGGGCAACACGTTTAGCTCTATCTCGCCCGGCCGCGTGTGAGAAACCTTAACGGGCTTGACCAGCCACCTATCACCTACATACAGTCTTATTCAATATTTCCCTATCAAATAAGTGTTCTGTAACCGGAGTCTGTCGAGATTTCTTAAATCCGGGCAAGATAATGTCACTGTATCATCGAAATGAGTGTTGTACATGAACTGCCGCAGTGCAATCCTTTGTTCTTGCCTGGCTCTGGTACGTTCGGAAAATACACTGCATTTAGCCCAAATTCTATTTGTAGTTATGGTTTGAGAAAGATTAATGAACTCGTCTGGATAGAGCGAGCTGGAAGGCACCTGGATTGACGAGGTAGTGGTTGGGATCACGTGGACGATGAGAGTAGAGACGATGTCAGCCAAGCGTTCTGTACATAGGTCGTATTCTCTTGCGATAATTAATACATGAATTGCCGGGGACACATTTGTGCCTTTCGGTGTTGGTGTTATATGTCCAAGTCTGTGTAACCCAGGTCCATCTTACTCGACAATTACGATCTAAGCTACATCGCTCGTATGCTTCGTAATAGGTATTGCGGCTGGTCGCTGACCGAATTCGGGCGGGGTTGTAGGTATTGCGGGGAGCGACGTATGTTCAATGTTGTCATACCTACTTAGTATGTACCTACTATCGTCTATAGCAGACGTATTCATATGTATGACTCATAGTATGGATTTATGTATGTATGTACACATTTCTTGTTTACACGTGCTTATTTATTTATAGTGTTCACTAGAAGAACCCGACGTTGCAATGAACAACGCGCATTGATGCTTGAAACTGTCACGGCAGAATTGTAGTATCTACCTAGTCTCAGGATATCGTAAACGAACTTCATTCATCATGGTTCTCGAGATCGAGCCTAGGAATTGGTACCGCGACGAGTTCCTCGTCTCGACAGAGCACCGCCTCCTCCAGGTCGATGCGGTCCGCTCGGCGATGAGCCCGGAGGTCATGTGGTGGGCCGAAGCGCCACCGACGGATGTGTTGCTGAAGGCGCTGCATAATTCGCTGTGTCTCGGGCTATACGAACTTCCTCAGTCGACCTCTCAGATCGCAGGTATACACGCCCTTCCCTAGTTCCGCGCTCGGCTTACACTCATAATCCCAGGCCAGAGCGGCCCGAAGCAGATCGGGCTGATGAGGGTCATCACGGACGATGTGACATTCGCCTACCTCACCGATGTATACGTTCTGCCCGAGTACCAGGGCAAGGGACTGGGGCGCTGGCTGTTGGCATGTCTGGATGAGGTCATCAAAGCTTGGCCGCATCTGCGCCGCTTGATATTCATGACTTCTCCCGGCACGTTGGACCTGTATAAGAAGGCTCTTGGCGCGGAGAATTGGAGCGAGCGCCATAACGAGAAATTGATCATAGGGGCGGTTGATGGTCCGGCTGCTCCGCGTGGACAGCGCGAGTAGAGTACGGAGCGCTAGGGGATTCACACCTTCGGGCCGGTCTTTCCGTACGCGCCTCCGTGGGCTCGTCGCAGCTCTAGCGCGCGTTTGTAGGGCGGCGCGGTGGGCGGCTGTATAGGATCGAGTGGTACGTGGTCTGGTGGTAGGCGGTAAGAAGCATCTGAGTCGAACGCAGATAGGTCGCCGCATGCAATGAAGGGTGCTATCCACCTTATATCTGTCTCTTCGTGCTGGCGATGGTCCTCTAACTCAACTTCGGTAATATCGTGCTCATCAGTGACTTGGGTGTAATGAGGAGTACTATCCCAAGTACCTGTTGTCTGGTTCTGCATTGTAGTAGGCGCAGTGATAGGAAGACTTCTCAGATTTTGCTCGGTCATCTTATTCAGCCGGAATCCAACACCTAAGGGCTCCTCAAGGCTTGCAGAGAATCCTTTCGGGGGCTGGAAGTTGAGACACACTATGAATGCCTCGACACTGCTGGCCCGCGATGACCTGGGTTTGGCAACATGAACTTGCTCGAAGAAAATCTTGAGCTGAGCATACAACACATCGACATTCTTGCCCCTGAATATTTTAGCCACGAACTTGCCGCCTGGCTTAAGAACGCAGAGGGCAAGATTCAGTGCCGCGAAGAGAAGCTGCGACTGCACGTAGATGTCGAGATCGTGTAATCCAGTGACATCAGGGGCGCCGTCACTGAGTACCAAGTCAACGGGATGAGCGGCCTGTTGCGACATAGTCTTCGCATCGTAGTCAGGGTCCAGGGCCTTCAGCAACAGCGGCACGGTCGCGGGATGGGTGATATCGGCTCTGAGTGTGATAATACCGGGCAGGGGACTGATTGGCTGTAGGTCGATGGACACAATCTTGACATTGTCCCGCGGCTTCGGCTCCTCGGAGTCAGGATTGACCTCAGTGACCGACGATACGACGGGAGGCTTCGCCGAGCCGAAAACCCCAAGCATCTGCCGGCGGAACTTGGCCTCCCGGTCCTCCCATGCCGTGCGGCCGAATTTCTCACCCTTGATCAGGACCCTGGAAAGCACCTGGGACCAACTGCCGGGCGCGGCACACAGATCGACAACCCGCGTCACATTGGCAAATAGGTCAAATTCTATGAATCCAGTCAGCCTCACGGTTCCATTTTGCATTTGACAACTATTTTGTTTTTTGGCGGGGGAGGGGCAGAACAACCTTCGTCGAGCTGCAGGAGCTTGAAGGCACTTCTTGCTCGCCAGCCCTGCTCTTTCGCGAGCCTGTAATATGCATCTCGTTTATCCTTGGACGATTTCCCCATCTTGAATATATTTATTTATCCTCAGAATAGAACATCAACGTTGAGATAGACGAAGCCGAGGAGGAGACGATTAAGTGAGAAGAGGTGCATCGAATTTTCCACGAGCGAATCAAATTGGCTGTGTTAGATAGTGGGCTGAATTAAGGTGCGGTTAAGTGCGCAGGGGTGCCAGACTGGCCAGGGTACAGCTGTAGCGTACCTAGGTACCAACGCCAATGCGCCAATGGTGGGGTCGCAGGGTCTTCCCGATAGTTACTGGATACTGGATCAGGCCTGAAATTTTGAAGACTTTCGCGCTCCCTCTGCGACAATACGAACCGGACGTACAATCGATCAATTACGACCACGCAATTTCCTTAAAAATGAACGGGGCTAAAAAGAGGAAGTTGGCGGCCGGGGGCGCCTCATTATCGGCAAAAAGAACGAAAACCACGTCTCTCCCACGAAAATCAAAGAAGCGAAGCAAACGATCCGTCGGCCTCGATTCCCTGCCATGGAGCAAGGCTAAGCTCCCCGACATGTTCAACGATGCCGAGGGGTTCTATGGGCTGGAAGAAGTAGAAGGCGTTGAGGTCGTGCGAGGCGACGGCAACATAGTCGAGTTTGTAGGTTGATGCCGTCTTTCATCCTCTCCTCATACTAACAGTGCGTTACAAGAGAGCAGCTGTTCCGAGCGACAATGAGACCGATCCAGCCGGTGAAGCGGACGAACCCGAAAGCGATGATTTCGATGGATTCGACGACGAGCCATCTGCCGTAGCCGAGTCTGACACCATTGCTTCTCAACAGACGCCGAAAGCTAAAGCGAAAGCCATTGAGACCGCCTCTAAACCAGAATCCGAAAAGCCCAAAAAGGAGCCAAAGAAGAAACAGAATAAAAAGTTAAGCACGAAAGAGGATAAAGAGTTGGAGACCAATGTGTTCGCAGGATTAGATACTGTAGACGAACCTGAAGACGACATTGACTTATCCGAGTGGGTAAAATTAGATCTTTCTGCCGGAATTCTGTCCTCGTTGGCCAAGTTGAAGTTCTCGAAGCCCACGGCGATCCAGGCTGCAACCATACCAAACATCCTAGCCGGTCATGATGTGATAGGAAAGGCCTCTACTGGCTCCGGAAAGACCTTGGCTTTTGGGATACCCATAGTCGAGAAATGGTTGGAGCTGGCGGAAGAAGACAGCACCGAGACGGCAACCAAAACTCCCCTAGCCTTGATTCTCTCACCCACCAGAGAACTTGCCCATCAGCTCACAGACCATATAAAAAATCTTTGTAATGGTCTGCCCAATTCCCCGTACATATGCTCTATCACTGGAGGTCTTTCGGTGCAAAAGCAGCAACGCCAACTGGCCAAAGCCGACATCGTTATTGGAACGCCTGGTCGGTTATGGGAAGTGTTGAGTTCAAGCGCTGAAACCATGAGCTCTTTCAGGGGAATAAGTTACCTAGTGGTGGATGAAGCAGACAGGCTTCTGACCGAAGGCCATTTCAAGGAGGCCGAGGAAATCTTGACCGCCCTAGATCGGGTTGAGGTAGATGAAGGGGACGAGGAGGCCGAAGCTTCTCCTAGACAGACCCTTGTCTTTTCAGCAACATTCCACAAAGGCCTCCAACAGAAGCTAGCTG